CGAAGGCGAGTGCAAACGAAAGGAAGAGCCATCAACAAGGATGGGCATGGGGTGGAGGTGACTTGTAGTTGTTGTTGTTGTTGTTGTTGTCAGAGTAGTCGCAGGCGGTCCAGGTCACCATAGCGGTTATTATCATGTTAAAACTGCAGAATGCAATAAGTTGGTTGGCAAACCGCGGGCGCTCTGGCAACTAACGAAGCGGGCGTTGGCGCACAAAGGTAGGAAGACGCGAAGGACGCGCCGGTCCTCGGTCCGCGCTGCTGTTGGCCGCCTTCTGTGGCCAAGATTTATTTATTTTTAAGAGTTGCCTATGCAAAAAATATGTGTCTTCTTCTCCAGCCACCACCAACTACCAACTGCTGTCAGACTTCGGGGATTTTTTCCACCCGTTCCTACTGGTACGAGTATTGGTTAAAACTTTAAAGTTGTTTTCCCCGCTACTTGAATGCGGTTATTTTTAGACAATGTGTCATCAGAGAGCGATGTCAACGACTGCTATTTACATTTTTTTCGCGCTTAGTATTTTTCCCTCTTCTCGCTCTCAGTTCTACTATATAGTATGTATATGCTTTTATTTTGCCAACACAACAAAAGTCATTATCGTTATGTTGGAAAAGAGGCAAAATGAAGAGTATTGTTTGCATTGGCGGGTGGAGTGCAGGGGGTTTGCTGCAGGGGTAGCGGGATGTGCTGTTTCCCACAAGACAGACCAAAAGTTTGCTATCCAAGCTTATTGTTGTTGCTGTTCTTGTTGGTCTTTTTGTGCGTTTTTCCTTGCCATAATATTCATAATGTGGTGACTTGAGCGGGCGTGCGGCACTAGTGGGGACTGGGTGGACTGGGGGAGGGGGGCTGGCACATTTTCGTTCATTAGGGGTAATTTAAAATGTCATTTGCATAGATGTTGGCATGCCGTACGCCAAGAAATATCTACGTGTGTGTGTGTGTGTGTGTGCAAGGTATGGTCGGGCGGTATATGCGGGGGGCGAGACCCGATTTGGGCCGTTGTAATGCGAAGTTAATGGCTGCAACCATAATGCAACACAATCGCATTCACTGATCGTTGCGAATATGAGGTATTACTGAAGAAGAAGAAGAAGAAGCAATAGTCTTGAAGATCATTTCCGATGGGAGCCAGCGCGAGCCTTTTTACAGTGCAGCCACTCCAAGTTTTTTTTCTAAAACTGTTTTCTCAACTAGCTAACCTATTCATCTTTTCTGCCTTGTTTGGTTGCTAGACTATTGAACAAATAGATTCACACACTTAAAAGTTCCTGCTTCTGACAACAACTTTGTATTAAAATTATTTAATTCTGGAATAAGTAAAATAGTCTGACTGTCTGGGCCCTTTTCTTAAATGTGCATTTCTTTTGATGATAGATGTTGTGAATTTATTTCGATATAAAGACTTATATCTGGCACAAACTCAGCGCTTTAACTAAAATAAACTTTGTTGTAGCAACCATTCCTAAGCTGATAATATTTTCCAAACTACTCAAAATATCTTCATAAGCAAACAAGTTTTTGGTAATAAGATCGTTCTTACGCCTGACTATATAAAATAATGAAGCTGGGTATGGTTTTCAAAAAACTTGCACTGCCTATTGGTAAGACAAGTCTACACCACAAGTTTCTTGTGGCTAGCTATGGTGGTTGAAAAGTTCTCGAAGTTCATACAGACGGACAGAAGAACAAACGGACAAACGGACAAACAGACAAATGCTGATAAAAAGTTTAATTAAGGATATCTTTGGTGTTCACTGATCTTCGTGGCCGCATCCACATTACATTATATTGCCCGGCTTGCCACATCAAGGGATACTTCATTTGCATGCTTGCCATGCTCGTGTTCTCGTTATTGTTCTTCTTCCTGTTCTTGTTCCTGTTCTTGTTCTTGCTGTTGTCTATTGGCTGTTGAGTGTTTGCTGTGTCCCGTTCGAAGCTTGCTCTCCGGCCTTCCTGCTTCAGCTCGGATTTCCTCCCACCTGCCATCGCCTGCACTAAGGCAGTAGTTTGTGCAAAAGCTTTTAACGTTTAATTGATGCTTGACAAAATTTGGACAAGCAGCTAGAGCGGAGGATGACACACATACGAGTGCGAGAGCGAGTACGAGTGTGCAGGGGAAACAAGACTCGAGTAATGGTATACGGCATATGGCATATGAGGTTGCGAGTAAGGCAGCCTTGTTGTAAGAGCTGAAGCAACTGAGGCAGCCAAGGGGCAGCAGGACGAAGGCAAGTGATATTAAATTAGACAAAAAAAAAAGAGAAGGAGAAGAGCAGAGAAACGGCAAAAACAATTTTGGGAAATGCTTGTGCCATATTTTGCGAAACTTTGCTTGCTTTGTGCAATGACGTGACTGTCCGACAGACAGACCTATCTACATTCTACATGCCGCATGCCTCGTTATGTCTTTGGCCACTCGTTCTGCCTCTTCACCTGCATCGTTTTATTTTCAGCCTCCCCCACCCCCCTACCTCACCATCCGCTGGCCTGCTGCATCATAATTAAATTTTCCAGCGCTTAGTTCATAAAGTTTTTGATTTTTTCATACACCGTCCCACTACTCCTATTCATTTTGTTGTTGTTTTTGAGTTGCCACACAACAATCAACACACACAGACAAAAGCAGTCTAACTTGTATGCCCGCACACACACACACACACACACACACACACACACACACACACACACACACACACACACACACACACGCCCTGTGCTGTCAACACCTATTTACGTGCATATATGTGTGTGTGACGTCTTGAAGGCCCTCCTGCACCGTACAGTTCGGCTCTCGAGTCTCCTGTGGATGGTTTGTTTTCTGCCATGTTGTCTCTTTCAATTTGCATTGATTAATTTAATAACAATTTGTGACGTTCTCACTTAGTCCCAGCGGCAATTAGATTTCCTTTAGCCATCGAACAGCTCCCTCTTTCCGCCTCCCTCCCACTCGCCCACTCACCCACTCACCCACTCACCCACTCTTCAATTCCCATACATTCCCCTTCACATGCAATTAAAGAAAATTCCAATTGTCGTCACTTAAAAGGTTTCCATACACAAATACTCTGCTGATTGTTCAGATATATTGCTCAGTTTAAGGACGAGGCTATGAATGGATATATAGTGCTCGTATAATTGTCAGGAAATCTCTTTACTTTTATGCCTTTTAGTACAATCAGGAGCCACTTCCATAGTCCTAATGCTTAGAAATACATCCAAAAATATCATTATTGTACAAATGGGCGTTGCGTTAAGTTCATGTTCGAGTTTGTATTGAAATGAATGAAATTTGTAAATAGTCTATTCATTAATTATATTATTATAATAGCACTAAAAATATGGGAATACTGGGATACACTCAGCTATAGAGTTATTAGCTATATATGGAGGACTCTTTAGAATAAGAGACTCTTCTCTGAAACACATATTATTATAATATCATTAAAAATATGTGAATAGTGGGATACACTCAGTTATAGGCTAATTTTGAGAGTCTAATTATTATTGTAGTATTTAATAGATAGTAGAGTTATTAGCTATATATGGAGGACTCTTTTGAAGAAAAAACTCTGCTCTGAAACACATATTATTTATAATAGCACTAAAAGTATGCGAATACTGGGATATGCAGTTATACATTTATGGGCTAATTTTGTTAAGCCATCAAGCATATCGCTTAAGTTAATATAAATACCAAGTTTGATTATTCCAGCTTCTACACTTTTCGAGATCCTTGGGTTCATCCAGACGGACATCGACGCGTCTTGTCGTACTGCTGAAGAATATACACTTGTATACTGTGTTGGGTCTGCTACGCCTCCTTCTACATACGTACACACTAAACTAGTATACTCTTTTATCCTTTGGATAGAGGGTATACATATTTCAAATATTGTAGGGTCTGTCATAATTTCCTTCTTCATATAGAGACCACACAAATATAAATTCTAAGTTGAAAGTAATGCTTAATTTTTTGGCTTCTAAAAATTTGAAATAATGAAGCATTAGACTTAGGCTGGTAACAAAGCGTCCGCAGGTTGAGCCTCCATCGGGGGGATGGAGGGGCATTTGGAGATACTGTTTTAATCTGCGCTAAAATATTTTATTTGCGCACTAAATTAATTGTATGCACATATTTAAATGGCGAATAAAAAACGCTTTAAACTAACGGGCGTGCAGTGAAATCAATTTAAATATTAATGCCAAATTACAGTTTTAGTTAATTAATTATGCGGGCATGATTGTTCTGAATGCAAATGTGTAAAAAAATTGCTGCGAAAATAATTGTATTTAAATAAAAGCTACAATAGGAAGCCAATGCAGCTTTAATCGATTAATAAGCTCGAGAAGAAATTACCTAAAATAGTTGCATAATAGTGGAAGTCCTAGTATTACAAGCAATTCAGGACGCACACTCGCCTCTTGGGAAAACGCCAGACTGTCGGAGCTCTCCCCAAAATGGCAAAAAGTCATTAAATAAATAATTAAACAAATTGTAATAAAATGAATCGGGACATATCTGACCTTAATCGAACAATGAAATCCGTATTCAAGGGAACTTTCAAATAGTGTAACATTATTTTTAAAGGCAAAGACACGTACGATCTAAGCTGTGAGCAGAGTTAATATTTTCTTCTTCCTGATTACCCCGATCAGCTCATCTGTTTGATGGTTGTGTCTGTTACGCCTCTGACTTCAATGGACTGTGAATCGGGGCATAGCTGGTCGGAGGCGTTAATTGGACATAATTGTAATTTGATTAGAGTTTTCCAATTCAGGCTTGTTTAGCTTCATTATAACGTTCTTGTATACCTATGTGTTTATCGACATAAAATAAAATATAAAGAAAAGAAATTAATTGCATTGTTGGGGATTCTTGTCTTCAGAGGTCGGGTAGTGGAAAGATTCCATCACATTGTTAGATAAAGGTGGAAAAAAATTATTGTAATATCCAGCAATGGACGTTCTATAGAATAGCAAAGAGTCCAGGCAAATAAAAAAATAAAAAAATTGATATTTATTATAAATTGAATGCCATATCTGGAATTACAAGATAACTGGTCCTATTGTCTTTCCCAACCCAGGCAATCGAAGCCCTCGCATCTCTGGAAGGCGTTGCAATTCAAATTGGATTTGCATTTCTTTTTGTGGCTGCGCCGGCGCTCGGTCATAATTTTCTTCTCGGCAGCGCACATCAGACGATCCTTAATATAGTTATCCATCTCGAAGTCCATTTCGACGGGAGTCGCAATTTCGCTCGCCTTCGAAGTGGCTGCCGTGTCCAGGCCCTTGATGATCAGACTGAGAAGGGCATGTGCGAGGCGATGGCAGACATCGTACTCGATGGCATCCTGGCTGGTGTAGTAGATGGCTGACTGGGTGGTGGGCTGGACACCGATGGCCAACAGGATGTTGCAGAAAATGCCACGCTGCATCCGAGCATAAGGATCGACGAGCTGGGGAGGAATTCGCATTGTGGTCGCCAGATGGGCTATGAATTTGCTGAACTTCTTGATCAGCACGTTCAGGTATTGGGTGCGACACTGCCGCTCCAGCTTCGTCAGCATACTGTAGTAGAGCTCCTGTTTCCGCTTGAGGAAGTTCTCCTTGCGCCTCTCCTTGGTCTTATTTAGCTTCAGTATTTGCTCGAGTTGTCTGCAAGTCGGCGGCAATAATGGCTGGCGAATTCTAGACAGGATTGGAGATGGGAGTTACTCACTCTGTGGTGATGGCATTGTATTTGCCGAGCATGCGTTTGATGCGCTTCGCTCGCAGCTTGGGGTCGTAAATGTCCTTGAACTGCTCGTAGTTATCCATGAGGATGTGCTTTTTGGGCCGTGCCAGAGCTACGTCATAGGGCTTGGTCCTGGGCGGCAAAGACGGCTGGTAGGCCATCCGTCTCACATACGACTGCAGCATGGCAATGTTCTCCTCCTGGCGGCGCTTCCGATTCTTTGGGCTGCACTCATCGGGATCCTGCTCTTCCTCCACGCTGGACGGCGACGAGGGCAGCGGCTCATCCCAATCGGTTGCATTGGAGCTGGCCATGTTCCGGACTTAGGAATACCACACGGTCTGAATTTCGAACACAATTAATTTTGTCCCAAAAGTGAAGATAATGCCAATAGCACCGCACCCAAAAATCGAGCTCTATCAACAAATCAAAAATAAAGTACGCGAGCAAACAGAAAATTTGTGAGTAACGTTCAATATTCGACGATGAAAAATATAATGAAGTGACAAAATCCAAACTAGACAGCCAACGAAAAGTTAACCGGATGCGAAGTTTCTCCTCAAGTGTGCAACTCAATTTATCAAAGGATAGGATAGGTTTCGGGTAAGCTTTGGCTGCAAAGGCGCTTTTAATAATATTTTGAAGTCTGCGAACCTCATTTTTGTTTTTTATTACCACTCACAATTTGTTACACAAATGATGATCTGTTCCTGACGACTGGTTAACAATTTAAAAAAAGGACAACAGCATAATTTTTGCTTCAAGTAAATGGTAATAAGTATCATTGAAGTGAGAAAACAATTTTACTAAATTGGCAAAACGGTATTCAATCGAATCATGCAAAATCGTTCTGAATATTACGGCTAGAATAGAACATTATAGGTGGAATTCGACTTCTGAATGTCCTTCACCATTTTCGGTATTAAAGTTTGTTTTATAAATAACTGTACATAAAAAATGTTTTCCAATTCAAAAGTGTAATTCAAACTATTTGAAATATTCAAAGTTCAAACAGGTAAGCTTAAGCGATTTATAATGTTAATTTAGGGCTTTCGTCTGGCAGAGTCAGGCACACCGGAAATTGACACCTAAAAGTATGCATTTCTTAATTGTAATTGTGTTTCTATGCCTCTTAGCGTTTAATAATGTTTCACTCACATTGACTTACGCTCGAAAAAACGTGAGTTAATTATAAAATAAGTGAGCACTCAAAAGTATGTATGCCTTCATTAATTTCCCTTGTATCCAAAGGGTAAAAAGGGTATAATTATTAGATTAGTGCAATGTATATAACAGGGAGAAGGAAACATCTCCGACCCCATAAAGTGTGCATATTATTAATCAACATGACGAGAGGAATCAATATAGCCATTTCCGTCTGTCTGGATGAACGCCCGGATTTCGGAGACGGTTGGGCCCACATTAACCGAACTTGACATGTGGACTCTCCTATCTCTTTCGCCAAATTACTGATTTTTTTTGTTATGATTTTTGAAATATAATAATACGGTGTTTAGAATTTTATGAAAATATTCTCAATGTCTAGGTTTAGCAATTCATTGGATTTTCAGGACATCCGTTTAAATTTGTAGGAGAAAAGCATTTTTTGTTTTGCCACAAATGACTGAAACTCATTTTAAACACTAGAATTAATTTTTAAAATAATTTAAAATGCCTTATTTTTGCTGTAATTTTAATTTTTAATATAAGTGTCTTCCTACTTCGGCAGCTTGTTTTGTCAAAACTGAGAAGTTTCTCGAGAAATTCACTCATATTCAATTAACGGTAAAGAGAACCGCGAAACAGGGTGAGAAACAAAAGTAAACAATAAAATGCAATTAGGTCTTATACATAAACATTCGTTAAATATAAATGTCTGAAAGGGCTATTATCTTATATATATTATATCTTATATTGTAAAGGAACAGCAGCATATACATACATATCCTTTAGCTTTACATAAGATCGTGGCATATATAGTGAGTGTATAGCGGATACATATAGGCCGAGTATGGTGAACTACAGCATGTTTTAAGGCGCCTAAGTCGTGTGCGCTGCTCTGAACTATATATTCAGCGTTCAGTTGTCCAAATCGAAATTCAAATCTGACCTAATTTTCATTTTCATTCCATTCAGACGGCAGTTGCTTAAATCTTAAGATGGCTGTGCACATCTTGGGTGAGGATAACCCCGTATTAAGCTCATTTGTAATCATTTGGGCGTTACAGTATTTTTCCGCGTTATCATTGTTGTTGTGTCACTGTTTTTGTTATTGTTCTTGCTGTTGTATTGTTGTTGTTTTTAAGAGCCTTCATAAATCTTAATTTTGGCATATGCGCGAGCCAGCAGGCGCTTGGGTTGTGGGTGCCTTGCTGCTGTGATGGGTGGCGGCAGGGGATGGGTGAGGGGGGTTGTGGGGGTCCAAAATTTGCAATTGCGCGTATCTGCGTAAGGAGCTTGAAAGATGGAAGCTGGGAGCTGGGAGCTCGGAGCACGGGGCGCGTTTCATTTTGAAGTTTTGAGCTGCATTTCTGATGTTACAAGCGGCACCGCCTGCTGCTTTCCAGAGCTGGCCGGAGGGTGCGCCAACTCTGATGATGACGACGACGACGAAGACAACGGATGAGCATCAGCTAACTGAAATTTGTCACAATACAACAATAGATATAGCAAAAACAACAGCAACAACAACAACAACCAAAGCAGCAGAAGCAACAGCAAAATGGCACAAGTTTTGAGCGTTAAATTTAATGCCTGTGCCCGCTTTTGTTTCTAGTGTTCTGGCTGGGATTGCTGGGGCGGTGCGGTGCGGTGCGAAGCGGGGCGGAGCGGGTCGAGGCGGGAGTGACGCAAGTTATGGGGGTGTGTGTGTGAGCCCTCCATCCACTACTGGGCCCTCCATCCACATCCACACCCACACCCACGCCCACGCCCGCAACTAGAGAGGGGGGGTTTGAAGCACCGCTTACATAACAAAATGTGCCAAAAATTGGTCATAAGAATTTGTGCTGCTTTTTTGCCATGGCTTGTTCTCCTCGTTGCTGTTATTTTTGTTGTTGCTTGATGTTGTTTGTCGTTTTGGCCCGAGGGTCGACGATGGCGCATCCAACGCATTTTGAAAGCTTTTAGCTGTTAATGTGGCATAAATTTGTCTTTGTTGTTCCTTGTGGTAGAAATTTTGTGGCGGAAATTGAAATAAAAAATATATATCTACAAAAAAATAAAAGATAAAGAAGAAGCGGAATATTATCGCAGCAAAGCGGAACAGAAGAACAGAGCAGTGAAACGAAACTGAAATCGAAACCAACAGCATTGTCGAGCTGTGTCCGCAACTCCCGAAGGGTCCGAAGGCACGGACAGCTCAAGCGTTTGAATAAAAATTTATTGATTTACATTAAAACGAAAATGATGGCGGCGCAGGCAAATACTTACTCGAACAATGTTGTGTTTAGCTGTTTTATGATTTGAACTCCTAACGCCACACGCACATACCTCAGTCCCCTTCCCTCCCCACCATGCTCGACAGCCTCGTCCATCAACAATTGCCGAGTCTGGAAACAAAATCAAAATCAAAAGTAAAAGCATGTCACGTGTAGGCCAGGGCCGACAAAGGGAAGCTCTGGGAAGTGAGCACAAATTGATATTGATGACATGTCAATGAAATTTATTGACATGCAGCGCACTGTGTAAGTCAAATGCGCCCGCCGCCGATTTGCCAATACTGTCTTGGGGCTTCCCAAAAAATGGCGGCCCAGTTGCCGTCACTTGCCAGACACAAATGGCCGTCGCCCAAGCGTCAAATTGGCTAATTTGTGTAAGCGTGTGAGTATGTCACATTGTTGGCAGGGGAAGGGGAAGGTGCAGGGGGTGGCGGAGGAGGGGAATTGGTAAGTGATTACGATGCTATTTTCAAAGTCCGGACAATAATGGACGAATTAACGCTATTCAAGCCATCATCACATTTCGAAAGTGGAGTGCAAACCACAAATGCAGCCGCAAATAATTAAATCAACCGTCAATCAGCAGATTTCAAATTGTCATCCTGCTCTTTTTTTTCGATTTTCCTTTAGCTGCCCAGCACTTTGAAGTGGAACGAGAATGTTTATTAATTATTGCAGACTGTCAATAACATTGATTGACTCTATGTCACAAATTATGAAATAAAAGAATATTGTTAGAAGGATTATGGTTTCCGCAAAGAATGTTGATTTGCAAACTTCAAGTTGATCAGAAAATTGGAATTGTTTATGAGAACAATAACATCTTTCGAGCAACGACAATCAGCAGATTTAAAATTCTTATTTTCCTCTTCTTTTTTTAGATTTTCCTTCAGTTGCCAAACGCTTTAAATAAAGGTTTAATTTTAAAAATAGAAAGATAATTACATTGATTGTAGGTCCCATTACATTGGTCCTAAAACATAAATTATGGAATCAAAGTAAGTAAGAAAATAATAATATGAGCTTTGTAGTATGATAATATAGGAGAGTCAAAATGAGTTTAAGGAAGGAGTCCACAGGGTTGCCAAAGCTGCTGCATATGTTCCTATCGTAATAAAATATAAAAAATATATATATATCCCAAATCAGGAAATATAAGAATAGTGATAGAAGGATTATGTCTTCCGCAATGAACTTTGATTTCTAAATTTCAAGTTGATCAGAAAGATGATCAGAAAATTGTTCATGAAAACAATAACATCATTCGGACTAGGCTCTCCCTATCTAGTACTACTCAAGGGATGGTCAGACAGGCGAATGATTTGTTGGTTATTTTGTAGTAGCTAACAAATATGTCATGAATATAATGTGACTTCAAAATCACAATTAAAAACGATTCTGTATTAAAATGCATTTTTTTTAAAGCCAATTATAAATGTATTATATTGTTTATTTTCAACTTCACTTTTTTCCTTTGTCTTGCACAATTCTCGTTTAAATTTTAGTTTTAATGACATGACGTGCCGCTCATCTTTGTTTGTTTTATTCACAACGTTTCAGATGAAGGATTCTTTTTAAATTTTCTTCTTTAAAGTAAAGCTTTTGCTTCTTTCGCAAACACGAATTAATATTATGCGGCATTTCATTTCTATCTGGTAACTATCTTAATTAAGTTGTCGATTTAATGTTACTCACTTGGTGAAATCTACTTAGGTTTTTCGTAATGTAAAAACTGTAAATACAAATTGAATTGATTATCAATGGAGAGGTTTTGCAATTTGGATTGAAATAATTGCGATTCGATTGCATTGCAATTGCATTTAAAGTTCTTGCATCGAAATCGAGAACGACAGCGACGTGAGCCTTTTTGTATGTTACCTGCCACATTAATTCACGTTTCGCCAAAATGACATTATAAGAAGACAACTTTCGATTACCACGTGCAATGCTTAATGAAATTTGCGTGTAATCCTTCGCCCCATGTCGCTTTTTGCGGAGCCCATTTCGTAAGTACAGAACCG